TACAAACAGTAGTACATATGTCTCATTTTTCCCCTATTCCCCCTGGCCTCCCCTACCCCCCAACCCATGCCCTCCCCCTTCTCCCAGTGTCTGTGTCCATTGATATCCTTATATTCTTAACCATTTGAAATAGAATGGATGGAACTGGAGAGCATTATGCTAAGCGAAATAAGACAGTCAGAGAAAGATAAATATCACATGTTCTCACTCATTTATGGAATATAATGAACATCAGAAACTGATGAACAGAAATAGATATAGAGACAAAGAAGCATTGAACAATCTGTTTGACATTTTGACAATTGAATCAGAACATCTCACATTCTTTGGTGTTCAGTGCTGGTAAAGATAGAGATTTAGGAAGGGACCCCTTAGGCTCAAGTGAAATTTGAAACCAAAGCCATGGGTGAGGGACCAGGCTTTTGAAGGAGCAAGGTCCGTGGAGCCTATGAACTCTACAATCTCTGAACCTCATATAACCTCCAAACCTTAGCTTCCTGCTCTGAAAAATAGGAGTAAACTGGACCAATAACCCCAAGACTTTTTCAGGCAGGGGGACCCTGGAACTCTCACTGGGTCTTGAGAGCATCATCTCTCTAATTGAGTTGCAACTTTTTCACTTTTGCACTCCTATCAGAAAAAAGAATTGCACATCCCTTCAACATATTATTAAATTATATGTCTTCCTGTATTTATTACATATGTCATAAAATAGAAAATTGGAATAAAAAGGATAAAGTCATAAAATGAACGTAACTAAGTTTTATGGAAACCCTCGGATTATCTTACCCCACTCTCTGGGAAAGCCTTAGTGTTCCCTGGTGTCATTGGCCAGTTCATGATGCCCACCACTTCCTCTGTCTGAATTACCCACCTCTTTCATTTTTTCACCAGTATTACATAAAAGCAAAGATTTTCACTCTATTCTCTCTGACAGAACTTCCCCACAGCCACTATTTATTCATCTTCATGAAGGTGACACTAAGTCATAAACCGCATGGCCACCACTATTTTAATAAATTAAGTAACATGTTTACTTAACAGGGAGCTCATTTTCAAAGCTAACCTGGGTAGTCATATTCCTTTTGGAAAGCTGTGTAGATCTCTGGGTGTAAAAAACAATTGGCCATAAAGTGGGTGACTATTTAGTGTATTCTTTGTATTGTAAACAAATTGGGAAGACATTCATGTGGTAAATTATGTTCACAGCTTCAGTAGAAAGCCCCTGTGCTGATGTCTAAAATTCAGAAAATGTAATCACTGGGGCAATTGACATTTATTACACCTTATTGGGAGAGCTAAAGCATTTTTAACCCAGTTGGAATTACCTATTAGATATTTAGTGCATATCAGGTCCTGAATGGTGAAACCATATCCATGTTGTATTAAATGATGAAACTTACGTTTTGTTTATTTAACTACTAGTAAGTGGCTAGTAATTTTTATATAGAATTGGGTCAGTCATTGAGAATATAGCTGATATACAAGATAGAAAGTAGAAAATAGACTCAGAATAGGGTGTTGTTGGAAGGGGGTAGGATTCTTATCAGAGAGTCCCAGGGAAGTCATCTCATCTTCTCTTGGGGGTAGGGAGACATGGGGAGACACTGTGAGCCTGTGGGGAACTTGAGGGAGTTTGAGATTGATGGCTTTTGTGTTTTCTGTGAAGCATGAAGCAAGGTCAGCCACAAAGAAGAAGGTTGGCTGACCAGCTGCCTTGTTCTCTGGCCTTTGGATGAAGGGTTCCCGTCTTGACTACATATTAGAATCACCCAGGGAATTTTTAAAATCCCCAATGTCCTAAAAAACTCCAATGCCTCAGCTGTACCCCAGACCAATTAAATCAGAGTCTTGGTGGTGGGACCCAGGTATCAGTCTTTTTTAAAGTTCCCAGGTGATTCTAATTGCAGCCATGTCTGAGAACCAATGCTAAGCCAGAATGTGTCAGATTTTAATGTGCACACAAATCACAGGTGCTTGCTGGTATGCTGATTCCAATTCAGGATGTTTGGGCGGGGCCAAGCTCTCAGGAGATGCTGCTACTGCTCCAAGGACCCCATTTTGAGCCACAAGGTTAGAGATGACCCAATTTTGACCTGAAGTGACTGATAACTGCCTACAGGCTCCACAAAGCAAAGCTGTGAAGATTCTACAGTTGGAACACACTTATCTTCAGAGAATTATCAGAATATATACGTGTGTGTGTGTGTGTGTGTGTGTGTGTGTGTGTGTATATATATATATATATATATATATATATATATATATATATATATAAATGCTTTAGAGGGAAAAAATTACCTTGCTGTACAAAACCTACATGAGGCTTATTTTAGTGGAAGAGGAAAGCAGGCCACATCAACAGGCCATTGGGGTTGAAGGGAGCATCACCAGGAGCAGGGCCAGAGACCTAGGCCTTTCCAGAATTCCTATATTGAGATAGAGGCCAGAGGAGGAAACTTTGAAGCTCACACTGGGTCAGCTGGTTTCTGGGGGTGGAATCTGTCCATGATAGCCCTTATCAGTAAGATGGCTTTCCTTGAGGCTCAGTTCACTTTTCCAGAGACCTCACTCCTGTAGTCCTAGGGTCCTCACAGGGCCCCCAAGAAGGCAATTGCCTCTGACTTGAGTTGCTATGAGGTAACTAACCCCTGCCCACCATACCAAATACCCATTCCTAAAACATCTGTGCAGGAGTGCTTTCTGCTGTGGACTGGGGGCTTGTGGTCATCTTGATAGCTGCTTCTGTGGTGCAAATGCATTCAAATCACAAAATAAAATCAGTCCCCTCTCAGGAACATGATCTTTGAGAGAGATTCTCAACATGTCCCAGTGCCATTGTCCCAATTTCCACCTCAGAAACAGGTTTTGCCTGGGATAGTCTCAGGGACCCTACCGTGGATCAGTGGGGGTTCACAGTCACATTCTGAAGTTCCTTCAGTTTGAGTTTGTGCAGGCATTTCAGGGGCCCATGAGATCATTTAGGATGTGGCTGAAGGCATTAAGAATGAGAGTATTAGGTTGTTTGTGTGTGTGTATGAGTGTGTGTGTGTGTGTGTGTGTGTGTGTGTGTGTGTGTGAGTTAGAAAGTGTCAAATGCCCACAGTGAGAAAATAGATGGACTCTAGGACCTGGACAATAGTTAATTTATCTGAGTGGTCAAGTGTTTTCACTTTTTAAATTAAGCCATAAATGAATCCTCATATAAAAATGTCCACTTATATGGAGGCCCATAGAGTGAAATGAGTGCTTTGTGCAATGCTCTGAAAGCAGCAGGCCTGAGAGGTAGGCATGGCTGGTGGGAATGTCTGGTGGGGCTCAAAAGCAGGGTGGGTCACTGACTGAAGTTAGACCTCAGGTCATCTTCTTCAGACTATAACTCCTTATAAGGAAAGCAGCACACATGTGGCTTTGCTTGGTTCTTTTTCTGGGTATGTCAGAGAAACACAGGAACCCAGGATGAATTCATAAACACTCACCCCTGTCGGACTTCTTTCTGTCCACAAAGTGCTTTTGCATCCACTGTCTCCTTGGAGGCTTCTACTGGCTGGTGAAGTAGGTGGCTGCCATGTTACCCTCCATGATTCCTGTGGGGCCTGGCCCTCTGCTCTTTCCACAATGAGTGTGGTGACATCTGTTTTCATTTGCCTCAGGGGAGTTTTAGTTAGCCTTTCAGGGCTGCAGTTTCCTCATCTATAAAAAGAGTCAGGAAGAGGATAGAAATGTAAACTTTAATGCCCCTTCCAGTCTTAAACTGCCATGATTCTATAAATGGTGGGCCTATAACAAGAGCCTGGGCATGAGAAGACCAAGCTCAGAAGGGTATAGATATTCATTCATGCTCTCCTTCATTCTGAGCACCTGCTATTCACAGGTACAGATATGAAGATGAGGTGGTGAGACAGTGCTTTCCTCCTGAAGACACAAGTAAATAGGCAATCCCAGTATGAAGAGAAGGTCAGGACTAGACAAGGATAAGCCTGGGTTCTGTGGGAGCTCAGTGAGTTGGGGGATGTCTCAGAGGATAAGACCCCAAAGTCTAACAGGTGAGCAGGAGTTTTCTGGGTGATGGCAAAGGCCAAAGAGCACTCCAGACTGAGGGGCAGATCCTGGGATAATCCACCCCTGGCACACTTAGTTCTTTGTAATAGTAAGATGAGGGGTTTAGGTCTCTGAACCCAACTGCTGCCCCAGACAGTCCTGCCCCAACTCCCCATCTGCCCTGGGCCCTGAGGCTTTTCCTCAGCATCTCCATCCAGGAGGCACGTGGCTTACACTGGGCTGCACCCAACCCCTAGTCCCCAGCCCTCCCTCCCCAGCCAAGGGCCAAGAGGGTAAGAGTCTCCTGAAACCTGCAGATCCAGATTGCCCACTTCTCACTGCCATGCTGCCTTGTTAACCAACCTACCCCACACTCCTAGTGGTAATGGGCACAGGAGAATGGGTGGGTGACTTCATTTAAATCCATTTGCCAACAATGTTTTAAAACTCCAAATAAAATGTCCCCGGTAGCCTCTGAAGAAATCACTGCCTCCTTCTGCTTGAGCACTAGTTGGTGGCTCTTGAAACACTCCTTGATTTGACTAACTTCTCTGCGCACCCCACACCCCATCTTCATCAGCATGGAGGACAGGCCTTCTCATTCTCTCTAGTTATTATCTTACTTCATGGCTCATCTGAGGGAGAGAGACTTACCCTTTGAACCTGCATCCCAGAGCTGGTTGTTATTCTCAGGGCATGCTCTGCCCATACTGGGTGCACTCAGGCCACCCCATCTGTTGTCCCCTAGTTAAGGTGCCTACTAGCAGGGTGAATGACAGGGCAGGAGGAGCAGAGAGAAAGAAGTACCTGGTACCTACCTGGTACATGGTGGAGAGCTGGGACTCTCTGCTGGAGGAAAGGCAATATCAGCAAGGGGTGGCTTTCTGGAGAAAGGGCTAGGGTGCTCTCAGGGCTTCCATTGGCTGAATCATCAGACAGGTCCAAAGCTATCATGCGGAAGGAGGCGGAAGTGAGATTTTGTCCCTTTGGCCTTAAGGTGCACACTGCTCACCCCCACTGCATTGTGCCCTGTCCTGCAATCCATCTGGCCTCAGCCCTGTTCACAGAGACTTGAGGCCCTGGCAAGGGGGTCTGATGGCCTCCCTGGAACTCATGGATACTGACTTACCCTCCCACCCACATGACATCTGTCTCAGGAAGGCAGGATGTGGTAGATGGGTAACTAGAAACAGGCTGAGAAAATAGAGGCCTCCTAGCCATCCTGTAACATAACCATAGCCTCTTTGGGCTGCACTCACTGCCCAGGGATAGGAACTCTGGGGATCCTTCAGCTCCTTCCCTGACAAAAGGGACTGAGGAAGTCCCTGGTAGAAAAAAGATGAGCAAATATTCAATGACTTTCTGGAAGGAACCTGGCCACTACTTTGAATAAATGTTATTCTCAAGCACTCTCTCGCACACACCTCTGCAGGGAACTGCACTTGGTGTTGAATGAAGAACTACAGGGGCCTCTCTGCCAAGAAACGAAATGCACGGAAGGGTGTTTGTGGCCCTCACAGCTTCCACAGGAAAAAGGAGCCTGGAATTGACCCTGAATTCTAATCCTCCTCACATTTTGAGCAGGAAGGTTCCAGGGAAGTTGCAGGCCTAGTACCAGGGCTAGACAGGGGGAGGAGTGACGTTTTGCAGGAAGAAATGAAAGCTGGCACCTAAGCTGAATGTGTATTCCAGGAGCAGGGAAAGGAGGCATTGAGAAGTTGCTGTCTCTCCCTTGGTGGGGGGAGTGTTAAGGGAGGCAGAGAGGGAAGGAGGCCACCACATTTGGAAGGGTGGATAGGTACAGCCCATGATGACAAAAACAGTTTCACTGCTTGATTAATCCTAAGCCCACAGGAAACACAGAACATGACTTCTCTCAGTGACTTCCCTTGCAGGTCATTAGAAGCTACCCCAGATGGGTGGTCATGGGTGCCTTCTCTGACTGCTGTCCTTGTCCTTGCCAACCCCACCCAGCTTCTCTTCAGCCTTTTCTCACCACTTCCTGATAGTTCTGGCCAGTAGGAGGGATGGGGCAGACCCTACTGGAGGAGATCTTTGGTTCTCAGGGCCTTCGCAGGGCTGCTAGCGAGTAGGCCACAAAGCTTTGTTCTGCTGATGTTGCTGCCTCTTCTGGCATAATTTTGATGCCTTCTCATGCTAGCAAATCTCTGTCTAATCAAAGGCATGTGTCCACACTAGAATGTGATCTACTTGAAGGCAGGAACCTTGTCTGTCTGGCCCATGACAGCATTTCTAGCCCCCAGAAAGTATTGGTATGCAGTAAGCATTCAACAAGTTAATTGGTTAGTTGAATGAATGAATGAATGAATGAATGAAGCAATGAATGGATGGTGTATTGGAAATATGGTGTTTTTTGGACTGAATCAGGGAGAATTCCTCTCAGGAAAAACAGGCACTGCAGCTTGGGCAAGGTCCCTCATCTTCCTGGGGACAGGCTGCCTCCCTACTCTGCCCCAAGTGCACTATTGGCCTGCATGCTGGGTCACCTTGTGGTTTCCAGAGGGCACTTTGCCCCTAAAGAGTCAGGCTCTGGAGGCTTCCTCAGAGGCACCACAGTGATCCCTGCCAAGGGCATCATCCACCAGTCTTTCTCCACAAAGTGATGCTTTGCATAGCATCCTTCCTCTTGCCTTCTCCTCCTCATGCTTCACAGAAACTCCTTGTTCTCTGCATGTGACACATTTGAATGATCTAGAAACATCACAGAGTTGTTCATTTGTTAAAGATGCTTCCTGTAGCAATGTCTTGTTTGTTTATTTCCAATCCCATGGTGTGCTGGGCCAGCTCTCTTACTTGTTTTTGAGGTTGTGCTGGTAACTTGGTGGTGAGCAAGGAAAGACTAGATGATCACAGGACTAAAGTCTATACAGTTCAGAGAGGTGAGGTCTAGAATCAGAGATGCAGAGTGAGACTGAGGATTATTGAATTATTATTGATCCCAACCAGACTCCAGGGCTGCACAGATCCTGGAGTTATACATGGTGCCTGCCTTCTCCATGGTAACCAGGCTAAATATGGAGGTGTTTCCATGGAGAGTCATATTGGCAGCTGCAGCCCTGCTTCCTTCAGGAAGCACCTGTGCTGGGTTCTTTGGCCTCTCCAGTGGCCAGTGCAATGGACATTAAGGGAGTGTATCTCACCTCTGAGGATGCTTGTTTCCAACAAGTGATTCATTTCTCCAGCCCTAGAATCATCAATATCCCCTCCTTTTGACAGCTAGACGTTAGGAGAGGTCACAGATCAAATAGATGGCGGCGAAAGTGACATTGGATCCTATGAGCATTCATGCAAGTTTTGCATCTTCACTGGTGGAAAATTATGAAGAAAGGGGATGTCACTGGTAAGAGGGAGATGGTGAGACAACTGTAATGACTCTCTTGTCTAAGCGCACGGCTCTTCCCCTTATCAAGCCTCTTTTGGAATAATTATTACTGCAGAGTTTTGTTTTTAATTTTTTTTAAAAAAATTTCAATTACAGTTTTGGGATGGCCCTCTTCCATTTTCATAGAACAGTCTAATGTGGTGGGGGTTTTTTCTGAAAGGACAGACTCTACTGCCTATTTGAATTTGAACAAGTCACATCTCTGCATATCTTAACTGTCTGATATAGCAAAGTGGAATGACTCTTTGTGTCTGTTGAAGGCTAAACATATAAGCTGAGTATGATGGTTAAAATACTCTGTTTAACCCCACTTAGCAATTTAGTCATTACATCATCTCTGTTTATATCAAAATCCTCTGTTAAATTGGAGCTCTTCATGCACAGCTGATCACATCAGTGTGTTCGTATATATTAGGAAATGCCTATAACATGTATGTATACATAGAGAGATGGGTGTACTCCATGGTTAACTAAGACATGGAAACTTTTAAAAGATGTGAAGATAGCTCTTAGGGCAATTATAAATTGTCTCTGAAGGAAAATTCATATTGTGTGTTCTATGTTTCAGGTTGAGTGACATCAAAGGTGAGTGATGGATGATCTGCAATCACAGAACCTCTCCATGGACATGACCAACTCCTCTCCTGCCTTGGCCAATAACAGACTGGAGAATGGTATGGCCCAGCTGATCACCACAGAGGCCTGGAACATCAACTCCACAGACCTGGTAAAGAAGGCGCTGGTGACGGTGCCGGCCCCATCCATTCTGAACCCCCCAGCTGAGTCCCAGAGCGGCATGGCTCTAAAAGTGGCGGCCACCGTGTTGCAGCCCCTGTGCCTTGGGGAGAGCCCGGTGGTGATGCCCATTCACATGCAGGTGGAGGGAAGCTCTGCACCTGAGCTCAACCCTAATGGCAATGCCACCTATGTTATGACCACACAGGGCCCTGTGCAGCTGCCCGTGGTGCTGGAGCAGCATGTCTTTCAGCACCTCAACTCCCCTCTGGTCCTGCCACAGGAGGCCCCATGCTCCTCCAGTGCCATCCACAACAACCTCTTCCAAGCAGCCGAGGACCCCGAGGCCCAGCCCCAGCTCCTGGACTTGCGCATCCCCAGCCAGCCACAGGAGCCCACATTGCCATTTGAAGCTGTGCTCCAGAATTTGTTTCCCTCACAGAGCACTCTTGGCTCCCCACCCTGTCAGCCTCCTCCTGGATATGCCCCTGTGCCCCCCCAGCCCTTTAACTCCCCCTTGTCCCCCCTGGTCCCACCAGCCACCCTCTTGGTGCCCTACCCTGTGATTGTCCCCTTGCCTGTACCCATCCCCATTCCCATCCCCATCCCAGTGCCTCAGAGTTCTGAGTCCAAGTTCAGCCCCAGTTTATCCAAGCCGCCATCTTCCTTTGGCCTACACCCCTTTAAAGGCACTCAGACCCCTCTGGAGAAGGAGGAACTGAAGCCCTTTGACATCCTCCAGCCCAAGGAGTATTTCCAGCTCAACCGCCACACAGTCATCAAGATGGGAAGTGAGAATGAGGCCCTGGATCTCTCCATGAAGTCAGTGCCCTGGTTCAAGGCTGGCGCAGTCAGTCCCCCAATCTGCCAGGAGGATGCAGCCCTAGACCTGTCTCTGGCAACCCGCCGGAAGTCTGAGCCTCCCCCTGAGACTCTGTATAATAGCAGCAGGTCAGTGGACAGCTCATGTCACAAGGTGCAGGAGAAACTGCACAGAGGCATGGAGATGCCTTTTGCCCCTGCCACACCCCACGAAGCCTCAGCCATGATGGATAGCCACCTGGGCAGCAGTGACACCACCCAGCCATTCAGCCAGCCCAGCCAGTCCAACAGCGAGGACAAGGCTGAAAATAACATTGAGATGGTGAGCAACTCCCAGGCAGCCAAGGTGATTGTCTCGGTGGAAGATGCCATGCCTACTATCTTCTGTGGCAAGATCAAAGGCCTCTCGGGCGTGTCCACCAAAAACTTCTCCTTCAAAAGAGAAGATTCCGTATTTCAGGGCTACGACATCAACAGTCAAGGAGAAGAGTCCATGGGAAACACAGAGCCCCTTAGGAAACCTGTCAAAAGCCGGAGCATAAAATTCAAGAAAATGAATTCCCAGGAAATACACATGCTCCCGATCAAAAAACAACGGCTGGCCACCTTTTTTCCAAGAAAGTAAATAATGTGCGTGTGTGTGTTTTTTAATTTTATGATTATAATATGGAGAAAGGTGCACTGGTTTTATAAAAAGTCATTTAAAACAAATTATCTTTGTTAATTATTTTGGGGGGTAATTCGGAAGCAGGAAGGCGAATTGGCTCTAGAGGCCCTGTAAGCTAGCATCATTTTATTTTTTTTTTATTTTTGACTTTTCACAAATGAGTAAATAAGAGCAACCTATTTTTCAAGCAAATTGCACATTTTTTGCAGCTTTAATGGAATATTGGGTGAATCAGAAGGGTAAAAAAGCTATTTTCATTGCCACAAAGTGCTTTGATGATGTAATACCTAATAAAGGGTAGGCTGAATATTTCACAATAAATGTTTGTTTGCACTAATTGGTTACAGCATTCTATCATTTTTAAATTTTGCATTCCTTAACTGACATTGTTTGGCCTAAGCTGTTGCTTGTAAAGCACTACAAGTTCTCTGTGTTTAGAGACCTAAGCTCTTCAGGCATGTTGGGCAAAGGAGAATTCTATTGGCCTATGCCTCCACACACAGAGGATTAGGAATATGTATGACCTTGATCAAGTCACTTCCCCCTCTAGCTCTCACTTTCTTCATTTGTAAAAATGTGGCAAAGGGTGTGGGGTTGGAGGAGTTGAGTTTCAAGTATCCAAGGCCACTTCCAGTTTACAGAGACCCTAGTACAGCCGTGGGCAAACTATGGCCCTGGGGCCGGATCCGGCCGGTTTGAAATGAATAAAACTAAAAAAAAAAAAAAGACCGTACCCTTTTATGTAATGATGTTTACTTTGAATTTATATTAGTTCACACAAACACTCCATCCATGCTTTTGTTCCGGCCCCCCGGTCCAGTTTAAGAACCCATTGTGGCCCTTGAGTCAAAAAGTTTGCCCACCCCTGCCCTAGTGTGTAAAATTCTGTGTCTGAACTTTCTCTAAAAGGATGGTTTTTAGCTGGAAATGACCTTATTTTCAAGGGCAATAAAAGCATTTTTCTGAATGACCAAAAGTCTTGAAAATCAAATATATTACTGAAGGCCACTCAGAAAGAGAGCAAAATTTGTTGCTGGTGGATGTGGAGATGTCTTACCAGTACAGTATTCCGGGCCCTAGGTAGATATTTGGGAGTAGGTTCTGAGAGGGAAGAGAAAGTCATTTCTTATTAGTTTAGCACAGTGGTTCTCACCTGGGGGTGGTCATGGCCCCCAGGGAACATCTGGCAATGCCTAAAGATACTTAGGGTTGTCACAGCTGGGGAAGAAGGTGCTGCTGGCACCTGGTGGGTAGCATCCCACAACACACAGGACAGCACCCACCAGAGAGAGCGATTCAGCCCAAATGTCACTGGTGCCATGGCCAAGAACCCCTGTTTATGCCATTTCTTGATAGGTAGAAGTGATGCACCTGGAAGGTGCATTCTGCTCTCCTTGGACAGCCTAAAGCCAACCACACAAGTGAAGAACTGTGAGTGTGCATTTCAAACAGACTTGCTAGGTGCCACCTCACAGTTGTGTCTGGAATTGTGCTGGCAAGAGACTAATCATGGCATGTCTTCTTTTAAACTTAAAGTTCTTTCTTTCACTTTTTGCAATTAGTATGTATCCAGCTGTTACTGTGAACACAAACAGGAGGAAAGGCAGTTGCAAGGCTGTTCTTTTATTACCAAGCCCTCTGTGTGTAAGATTACAGCTTTAGCTGGTCCTGTACCATACACCAAAAAATGGCTTTTCTTTTTCCTGCTCTTTTCCTGTGTTGTTAAATTTTCTTTTTCCAAGTGGGACATGATGATAAATAATGAAATAGCTGTTTTTATCAGGCTAACTAGTCGGTTCTTTTGCCCTAGCCAGACTCCATCCTTTCAGCTTATACATGGTGCAGACTTTTTCCATTTTCACTCCCATTGTGGATTTCCTGAGCATGGCATGTGTATTCTAGTTTCAAATACAACCAACACAAATGTGCCTAGGGACTAGCATTTCCCATCCACCTGAGATCTGTTCTCACCATGTTTGTGGTTGTTTCTGCTGCCCTCCACAGCATCAGGCAGTTGTTCTACACCAGCCAGCAGGGTACTCCAACTTCACAGAATACTGGCAAGAGCTGCTTCTTCTCCATCTTCAAGGAAACAGAATTCTCAATTTTCCATTTAGAAGCAAGTGCTTAGAGCTGAGTGACATACAGGTGGAAAAGAAGGCATTGGTAGGCTGTAATTACATTATAAAACCTCAAGCCACAGATTTCTCTTTGTTGTATCTGGCAATGTCCTTTTCTCTTCAGATGTCAGCTCCAGTTGGGTGATAAATGTGGGCTCCACAGCCAACCCTTTGGTGTTGAGCCACTGGGAGCTATCCTTCAGCCCTAGGATAGGTACCTGCAACAGGTCTCCCCGCCCACTCCAGCTAACCTCATCCATGAGCCTTGCCATTTACCTCTGGGAGCTTCTTGGGGAGAGGCTGTTGTGGTGTTGCACTGGGATACTTGCCCATTGAGACCTGTGAAGGTTACACCTAGAGTATTGTATTGGGACCAGGGTTGTACTGGGGCAGTATATCTTCTGCCTGCTCTCCTTCCCAGCCTTTGCTGGAGACGAGTCCACTTGACTACGTGCATGTCAGGGAATCAAGAGGAGGGCAAAGTCTTGCTGTGGCCAGAGTGAGCCTAGCATTCCCTGATGGTTCAATGCCTTGCGTCTACTCCAGTCAGAAGTTTGCAGCCTTTCACACAAACAAGTAAGAACCATATCAGCCTGGAACCATGGTGCCTAGTCTGAGGCACGTGATCCCCACAGGGCTCACAGAGTGGGCTACTGGCAAACTCTCAGGCCCTATCATTTTTTGGCTTGAGACAGGCAGCTGTGGTGATCTTTATGTCTCCAACCCTCACAACTGTCTCTAGCTAACCCACTTACAGGCTTCTGTCATACAGGATTTCCATCAAGCTTTATCTCAAGACCTAATAATTTCTCATTTCTACACACACACACACACACACACACACACACACACACACACACACAATGTTTAGGCCAACTAACCTAAAGAACAGCTTTTCAGAGTTGTTTAAAAAAAGAGGATTAGTCCCCAGGGATGTTGATATTTGCTATTTGCTCAGACTTGTCAAGATGGCTTCAGCTGGCTTCAGTTCAGAAATGATAAAAAATTGGAACAAGTTACAAAGATCCATATTTGTGGGTACTGATCTTGCTGATAAAGTAAAAAATTAGTTGATCTGGAGGAAAAAAGAAAGATTTAGAGATGATACAGTTAATGTCTCAACCAAGGAAGTCCTTGAGAGTGAGTTGAAAATTCTAAAGTGTGGTCAAAAATTTGTTTATATTTGAAGGCAAAACTCTCATACTTTAAGCATGAAAAAGTATGTTCTCAATGGTGAAAACTCCAAACAAAAGGAAGGAAGGAAGGAGGAAGGAAGAAAGGAAGGAAAAAAAGAAGGAAGGAAGGAAAGGAGAGAGAAAGGTAGCCAGCTACTGACAGAGCATGTCAATATAATCATGAATAATCATAAATAGAAAATTAATTTTAAAAAACAAGAAAAGATTTAGAGTCCATTTTAGAAGTGAAGAAATTGAGTCTCGGAAGAGTTTTCTGCTTTCAGTTTTTAAGCATCAACAACTCAAAAGTATGTACTTTGTGATGATTCTTAAATATTGGGTTTGAAGCCCAATGAACCCACAGGAATTTGGATCCTTTGGGGGCAAAAACCAGTATAAATTAGTGAAGAGTCTGAATTACAGATATTTTTCAATTATTTTCAAGACAATCCCAGTTAACTGGAATGCCCAGAGCACTTGGCACAATGATAAAGGGAGATTTTGAGCTGAAGGGTAAGGATGCCAAGCCTCTAAAAGCCACACGCAAAAGCTGCTAAGCTAAAAACTTGAACAGCAGGGGAAAAAGCATTAGAGGTCATTATGGCCAAATTTACTCCTCATTAAATAAAAAAGGCAATTTTCCAGAGCAGCTCACTATCACCAGGTCAAATAACTGACCTCCCACATCAACGAAACAAAATAGGGTGTATTTGAGGTCCTTAGGGTGCCACTTTAATAAATTGGTATTTTATTTTAATTAACATATTGGTTGATTTTATAGCAACTAGTATATAAGAGTGCTTGAAATAACTAGTTCCAAAATATTGCAAATAATTCATCTGCAACTGTTATTAAACCAGGGGATTTCTAAGTAAAGTAAGATTTTAACTATGCCCTGCTGAAATTATGAATAAGTTCAAGGTAAAGGAAATGAACCATTAAGGTTTACTATATATTCCCAACTTGTAGGTTATTTTCTACCCAACTATTTTAATCTATATATACATTCAAATAAAAATATAGGCTCACTCTGCTGATAAAGATGATAAAAGATACTGTCCTCCTTCTGCTAAATATTTCTTAAATATAAGGTTTGATAACCAAGTTTATTAGTAAGAATGTAATGAACACTTTACATTGATAGCACCATACTGTCAGTCCCAAATAGAATTAGGAAATTCGGTTTTACTTATAATTGCTTTAGATAAGGAACTTGAAGAGTTTCATTTTCAATGTAGAAATTTTCATTAGCATACATTTCAAGTCATATTAAGAAACACTGCAATGAACAGACAAAATTCTTTGAGAGCAGGGACTGAATCTTAATTCTTTATCTCAAAGTTTCTCCACCTCTGCACTACTGACATTTGGGACTGAACGATTCTCTGTTGAAGGGTACTGTCCTGTGCACTGTAGGATGTTTAGCAGCATCTCTGACCGGTAACACCCTTCCCCCTGCCCAATTGTGAACAAAGATGTCTCCAGACCTTGCCAACAGTCCCCTGGAGGGCAAAATCACCCCTGGTTAAGAACCACTGCTTTATCTCTAGGGTCTCTCTTATAACTGGCCCACAGCAGGAGCTCAACATTCTTTAAAGAAGAATTTATCAAAAAATCAGGGAGAGATCTGTAGCTGTGGGCTCTGATGCCCCTGACATATTTTCTTGTTTACTACAATGAGGCTGATATGAGCAGGAAAATTTTATTTACAACCTCTATTAATTGATCCAAAGGGCCATCACTCATCTAGCATGTAACAGGGCTCTCTAGAAGCTTCTCCCTAGTAAACGGGGTTCAGCTGGTCAATACATCACAGAAAGGTTGGGCACTCAGCCAGTTCTGAAGGGATGCCTGATTATTTTACCAACACCGTGAAACTGGAAGAACCCATTATTCAAAACTCACCCTGTGATGACCATTCATCAGTCTTATTTCCTAGGGTGGCATAACCCAGGAATTTACAAACATCGAAAGGAAGTTGGGTGTGTTTTTCCCCCTCATGTTTTACCTAAATCCTCTTGCTGTAATCAAGCCCAGTTTTTTGTTTGTCCTTAATAGAAACATAGGCCAAATATCATCCTTTTAGTAGTTCCCTATTTTAAACACCAGATCTTTCCACAGCCTCCTTCCCTAGGACTCAAGTCCCATCTCTTTTCATGCCCTGTGAGCTACTACTTTATAATCCTCTTGTCATCTTGGTTGATCTTTCCCCAATTTCTCCATTTACTTTGTAGAGTCAAGAACCCCAGGTAGGTGATGATAATGTTCTAAAATTGATTGTGGTGATGGTTGTACAACTCTGTGGATATACTAAAAAAACACTGAATTGTACACTTTACATGGGTGAATTGTATATGTGAATTATATGTCAATAAAGCTGTTACCTTTGTAAAAATAATAAAAGAACCCCAGATAGAAATTGAGAACTG